AGATAGATAGATAGATAGATAGATAGATAGATAGATAGATAGATAGATAGATAGATAGATAGATAGATAGATAGATATTCCTTAGTTCCATTTTTCTCATTTTAATTTTCAATTTGATTTGATTTGATTCAAGCTCCTGCAATGAACCTCAATAGTCCCTGAGTTTAAATCCAACACCCATTTGTTATACTGCTCTGCATTCAAATCAACAAGATTACATTTGGATCTAAGTTACTGCACTCTTCAAGCTACTAGCATTGCTTCTGGGTTACTCCTTACACTGCTTAGCAAAAATAAGTAAATCTAACTGGGAATAGATTAGTTTCCCCTTCTAAAGCAAGCTATGTATTTCCCTCTTCATTGCTCCTGTCACTTTGTCCTTCTCCCATTTATCCTCCTAGGAGGAACTACTGTAACCTGACTTGGCGAGCACAGTCTCACTCTTGCTTTTCCATCTTTCAGCCACCCAAGTCCAGAGAAGAAGAGGCAGCAGCTACTATGATCCAGGCATTGGCCTTCCTTCTGCTGCTGGCTGGGAAAGGGACTACAGTTACCACTACCAGTCCCCGTGTGAAGCTCTCCTTCCATGGTAAGGATGGGAGTAAGAGGTGGGAAGGCGGGAGAGTTTTTCTTGAATGGAAACCAAGTTGGGTTCTGTAGAATCTCTTGTATTCTGATAGAGCAATACTCTTGTGTGAATGATGTTAAGGGGAAAGTCTTCTTGAGATGACCCATGAAACAGTAAGTGGAGACAGAGCTGATCTTTATGCAAAATAGGATCTGTGTCAGCTACTAATCTATGTACGGAGATTTTGCATCTTGTGAAGATTCATTTGCCATTTTTCCTCTGCTGTTCACCTGGGACACACAAATTGTGTCCCAATTCTTTAGGCTGTAATTAGGATTAAAAAAAATGCCTGACCTGTGTTTGGACAAGGAAATCTGTTAACAAGAATCTGGAATAACCTTATTCTTGGATTAGTGAAACTGGGCAGTATTCCTACCTCCGTGAAACATACAGCAACTTTCCTTCACTGAATGGGCATGATCTGTCCAGGGAATTGAGGTCTCACTCAGCTGTGAGAACTACGAATTGCTGGATGGGAAGAAATGTCCATATGGGAGGTGGAGGAGGACTTCACACATGGGTAGAAGTGCGAGCAGATGAGCTTTTTAAAGGTGAAGCACTGATTTGAAGCAGGCACTTGTCCTATTTCAACAGAGTTTGGAGGATAGTCCTCATTTTTGTTTTATTCCAGAAACTTTATGGTGTTTTTTTTTTTAAGTTGACCCAAAGTCAGGTTAGATTGGCTAATTTGGCATTGCACTTCTCAGAGGGGAGCACTTGTTTCTGCTGGTCCTTTAGTTGGGTCTCAGACAGATCAGAGCTGCTGGATGGCTTTGGCATCCAGTTTAATCTTCAATCCAAACTGAAGTAGATTAAGCCGGAGGCCATAGCCTAATGGAGTAAACTGGACTATTTCATTGAGTTATTGGAAGGAAAAACTACACAGCTGGGAGTGTAACGTAAGCAGCTTTTTGCTGCTGGGGAAAAAAAAAAGGCAGGATATAAATTTAATGAAATAAATAAGTTGGTGCAGCTGATCCGGCTGTGATTTCTCATCATCCCTTGCAGTTGAGATCGGCAACAGCTCATTAGCGGGTGGACTGCTCCCCTGCCACTCACTTTCTTTCACTTCCTCACAATGCCTGATTTGTTCCCGCTGCTGAAGGCAGATTAGGCTCTGGGTGTAAAGAAAGAGTCCTTTCTCTGAGCAGATGCCTGTTGTGCTGGGAGATTAATGTCACGCTGGTTGAGACTGGTAGCCTATTAAAGTTGGTGGGACCAATCAAAGAACAGGCTGAAAAGAGGGGTGTTAGGGTGGGATTTGATACAGGCAGAAATTGGATTTGGGATGGGGGGCAATCAGATTATAATAGAAGTTTCCCCCACAGCCAGCTCTCTGCCAATGGCTTGAATGGCTCTAGGTTGGAGCAGGTTAATCACAAACAGCTGAGTTGTGTATGCGAGATGAATCTTGGATTCAGACATGCCATTACTTGCATTTTTCAACACATACACATGCACACACAGAGAGAGAGACAGATAGAGATACCCCTTATGTCCAAGAGAGTTCCCAGTGCAAAAAAAGGGGGGGGGGATTTTTTGGCATGTTTGTTGGATTGTTGGGTAAAAAAAAATAGGCTGCTTGCTTGTTTTACATGGAAGACATAGTTTCCAGGCTAATAAGCAACAGGCCATTTTAAATGTGCAAAAATCCCTATAAATGGGTGCAATAGGTAAGCCATTTGTGTTTGTCAGAAAGAAGACAGGTTTAAAGGTTTATCTTCCTAACATCTTTACAGCCCAAGGGCCTTTACCAGTTCAGGCTGTAGGACTTTCCCATTTAGATGCTTATGATTGCTGGGTTGAATGTAGCAAAGTGACAGGAATGTTCAAGGATTAAATGTTAATCTAAGACATGAGTAGTGTGTGTGTATGTGTATGGGGGAAACCAGAGGAGTGAATAGGGCTCAGAGACCAGATGATGGCACTGACTTGACCAAGGGCATCTAATATTTATATCTAGAGGCTTGGATGCAGAAAAACCTTTTGATATTGGCAATAGTTATTTGTAATTTTGTTCATTTTTTTGGTTAGGAACTCTGAAAATGCATTATTTATTTCCAAAAATATTAGTGAAGACTAATGGGAATTTTAGCAGAGAACGATATACAACAGACTGTCCTCTCTCAGTTTTACTCTTTGGAAACTTAAGTTTGTGCAATTTGTCAGTGGGGAGATTCAGTTTGTCTTTTTCAGGGCAGGAGAACATATCGTACTGCACTTTGTACAGTAGAGTAGAGTACTCAAATGATCAGTTAGATTTAGGGATAGATATTTCAAATTAAGGTTACATCTTCACTGACAAACTTCAATCTTCCATATCAATTAATGGATGGTTTTTGAGACTTCTTGATACAATATTAACTAATTTGAAATAGGACTGAAGTTTTGGAGAACTTCTCTGGACAATTTTGAGATCAAATTCGAGATTTTGTCAGAGATCAAATTCGACCTTATTAAAATCTATCTGTCTCTCTTGCTCTCTTGCTCTCTTGTTCTCTCTCTCTCTAATGTGAACATGTGTGTATCAACATATTAACACTTCTTATGTGAAGATTGATATTCAGAAAAAATGGATTCATCCTTGTGTTAGCTTCTGGCATACCAAGTCTGATTTGATCCCCATGATCTTGCTAAATTAACATTATGGGAAGAATGCAAAAGTGAAAATAGAAAGCCAATCCTTTTATTGAAATTCTTGGATGATTGTATATGATAGATTAATTAATGGGATCAGATGATAGGGTTTTTTATGTTTGAAGATCTGCAGCAGAAATATAATGTGTCACTTTTAATTATAGCATTCTATAAATGAGCCATCAGCCATGTGTTGGAATTCTCTAAAGTATTAGAGAATTTAAAGTGTACTTTATAAAAAATAAAATCATAATTGGTAATAATAAACAGCCATTACAATATATTAATTAGTTATATTAATTATAAGTTATTAAAGCATAGAATAACAAACTTGAGGTCTAGTACATGAATGTCAATACAGAACCATTTGGGAACATCTTTATCCCAGTTCCATAGATTTAAAATTATAGTTAATTCAATAAAACTCATGTCTGCTAGACATCAGTGCATGTTTTAAAAAAAAAAATGGTTGGAGATGTGGTTCTCAAAATACATAGATTAGTTTGGTGTAGTTTTTTTATCATGATTATGAATTATATTCCAATGGTGTAAAAGATAATAGGAAATAGATGCTGCAGGTGTCGATGATTTCAAAGAAACAAACAAACCAATAAATCATATAATTTTTTCCAAGGAATTCCAAGGGAAAAGAAACCACTTAGTTCTGTTCAGTCACTGTATTTTTATGCATAGTTTCATTCTGATATAGACACATCACAGTGATAACCATCAAGTCATTTTCTTAAGTCTGTTTTTATCTTTGAAGAAATAATTTCTTATTATTCCACATGTACTCAATGGACAAGCAGCAGAATGGCACTCCTACATTTTTCATAGGTCACGTGAACATGATAACCAGAATCATTTATACAAAATTATTCATCAGAAGGACTCTTAGAATGCACAAAGGGAGCTAGTCACCCACAACAGTCTGAAGCAAGTATGACTCTCTGTTCCCTGCATACAACATATATGAATAGCCATAAAGAAAAAGCATTAAACCATCCATATTTTGTTCTTTTCATTTATTCAGCTTGCACCACACTTGGTTGGCTTCATCTGATTCTCTTCATTCTCGCCTGCAGAACATAAATAAAATTGCATCTTTTTGTAGTTGGGTAACAGGCCATCTTCTATATTTTCTCCAGACCTGAAGATGCGACATGGGCTGCGCACCTATGAGTTGGAACGCTCTTGTTGCTACGATGCACTGCTCCTGGATGAAGAGAGGGGTCGGCTTTTTGTGGGAGGCAAAAACTACATGGCATCCTTGAGCCTGGACAACATTAGCAAGCATGACAGGAAGGTAAGAAGCCTATGTACTGCACCAGACCTGTACCTCAACCTGGCTGCTCCAGGGATATTCAATTATAAGCTCTGCCGCCCCTATCAGTCTAACCAATGGCTGTGTTGCCATGGAAAGACACAATGTAGTGGTTACTCTACCCAAATATTCCTTCCCTTCCCTTTTGTTAAAGAGGAAGGAATGACTATCCCACAAAAGCTAGTGGAGGATATTTGGCCCAATTTATACAGGTCCCACTATCTGTGAGATGGGCAGCAAATAACTGTGATAAATAAAATGTATTTGGAGATTACCAAGGATCGACTACATGCTGAAAACTGCTTGGGTTTGAGAATGTGGTGGAATAACAGCTCTTTTACTAAGAATAAAGAACAACATGATTCAGACATTTTAAAATGTTGGTTCTCCAATGGCCCGCTCTGGTCTGGAATTTATTGCAGCTTCTCTTCCCTGAGGAAGGAGACATTCTCCTCCTCATGAGGATGAACCTCACAAAATATCTCTGGGAAGGTTCCCAGCTTAATGAAATGGGATGGTGGGGGAGTGTGCTGATAGTCTCTATCCTGGACTATTGATGGAAACTGCATACTGGCCCAGCAGGAGAAGAGCTTTGAGGATGCAATACAGCCAAACCATCTTTGACCCCTTTCTCCTGAAGCACCAGTTTTCCGTGGCAGCACTTCAGTTTGGGGAAATCTCTGCTTCAAGAGATTAGTTCATTCACTGCTCAGTTTCTGCACATTTGCTGTTTAATTTTTTTAAAAATAAGAACTGAGGCTCTCATTGCTTTTTTGTCAGATTCTTTTTGCAGTGGCTTTATACTTATTTTTTTGTTTTCACAAAGAGTTATGGTCTGAAGGACAGCCAATGGATTGCTTGCTTGCTTGCTTGTTTACTATAACTGCCCAACTTACACACATTGACTCTTAAATGTAAAACTCAATAACATTAATTTGGATGAGCTGCACTAGGCAAAGCATTCGTGGTGATCTCAGTCTTGCAGTGCATCAGTCCACCATTACTTTTACAGCATTCTGCCTACTTCCTGATAGCACTAGGACATAAACAGCAGGGAAATTGTGGATCCGGACTAAGGAAAAAACACCAGAATTCCCATGAATGCTTTTAGTACCAGGGCTTTAGTAGCATTTGACAATGCTGTAATGAATGACTGGACTAGAAGATTACCCCCTTTGGAGTGTCATTGGTTGGTTTTGCCATTAATTTTCTCCATTTTTGCTCTCACAGATTTATTGGCCCGCGCCTGTGGAATGGAGGGAGGAATGCAACTGGGCAGGCAAAGATATCAATGTAAGTGACCATTGGGGGAAAATATATTAATTAAGCTATACATGCCACTGGTTTTTATTTTATTGTTGCTTTATTTTACTTTACTGTTTTACTGTTCTTACTTCTTTGTATCATCATCATCTTTTGGGAATTTATATTTTGTCATACCTGGTCTTTGACCCTAAACGAAGGCATACAGCCAAACAAACATCCAAGGCATAAAGTGAAAAGGCTAAGAAGCACTAGGAGATGTGACGCAAATCAGATGCTTCCAGAGTGAATGAACAGAGAGCCACGAATACTTTCATTGTATTAATGGGCTCTAAGTTAACTTAAGTTAACCACAATAATACAGGAGCACCAAACTTGATTGCAGGAAATACGACTTCAGCAACACAGTGGTCAATGCCTGGAATACACTACCTGACTCCGTAGTTTCTTCCCCAAACCACCAAAACTTTAACCTTAGACTGTCTACTGTTGACCTCACCCCATTCCTAAGAGGTCTGTAAGAGTCATGCATAAGCGCACCAATGTGCCTACCATCCCTGTCCTAATGTTTCCTTTTATTTGTACCCATTTCATGTAATCACAATCATGTTTATACTTATATCTGTTATCTAATACATGCTTGACAAAATAAATAAATAAAAATAAAAGTAAATAACTAAAAACTTGAGCCTGGAGGATCCTGATTCACCCGAGACCTTTCATTTTTGTAGAATGCCTTTGAGGGTCTTATAGAAGTGGATTTTCTTACCTGTAAAATGTTTTCTCTCTTCCCAATCTGTCAACTGGTGGCATTCTGCCCTAGCCCCATGAGGCCCCATAAGGGCTGTAAGGGTCACTTTGGAGGACTGGTTTGTGCACTTAGAGATTCTTCTTTTGCTTTGACCCACCCTGACCTTCCAGGAGATAAGAAAAAGGTTCCCACTGTTTTGGCAGGAGTGGAGATGAACCAGGACACCTTCAGATTTATGCCTTGATAAGTGTCAGACTGAGCAAGAAGGGGCTCAACACCCTGGTTATAACTCATAGAGGTTATGCAAAAAAGGAGCAGCATGAAGTCAAGTCTACAAAAAAGAAGCTAAGTGAGATGGAATTTCTTCAAATCAGGTTCATTCCCCCATCCCCAATAAATACATACTTCATCAAAACATATAGTAAATTTGCCCACCCAATAAGATCTCACACTTTATTCAGCTCTGAAATTTACCATCATGAGCACTGTGTATCATAAAATGGGAATCTTTATAGAAAAAGATCACCTCTGAGCTCACATGAGCTGGGCTGAATCTACAGGAGCAGACTGTCTCTGAAGCACCCAGTGGTCAAGCCTCAGAGGGGTGTATAAATCAAAAGCAGCATCTGGAACTTGAAAATTCAACTTGAAAGCTTATTGATAACCAGTGCAGCAACCAGAGAATTATTTTTTTAATAGATGTTAGTCACTTAACTATCTCACACCAACATCCTTGCTGCTATGTTGTTACCAACAGAGCTCTTTTGTCATCTTTAAGGCCAGTCTCATGGAAATTATTTCACAATAATCTAAATAATGTAGTTATAAAGGCATGAGTAAGAGAGATGTAGGACCTAAAAGCTTCAAGACCAAGATTGTGGATATGTTCAGTTGGCTTCCCTAATTTCTAAAATGGCTGTTGAAAAAGAGAGACCAATTTTTCCCAAGTGCTCTTTCTTTCCGTTGAAGTGCTGGGGCATTTTCTCTGTTTGAACAGTACAGCATGGCATGCTGCGGTGAACTCTGTTGGCCCTTTGGCCAAGTGCAGGCAATGGTGATGTGGTCATGATAACTTCATAGGCAATAGTTAATTATTTGCATGTTAAGCAACACCAAGATCGAGCAAGACTGACTCCAGAGGAATGTATGAAGCATCAATAATACAGTTATTGGCTTCTCTTAATACACATGGCCTATATTAAAAGGACTCGGTAGTTTGTAGTTTAAAATATGATGGCAAGTCGGCCATATCTTACCATCCTGTAGGAAGCAAGCCATCCTGTTCTGTCATAATGTGGTTTATTTGTTTCGGTATGTCATGTTATGGAACTAGAGTAATTGTATTTTGCTAACAAGTATTTAAGATTTGGTGTATTGTACAATGGCAGTGGTCTTACTATGTATAAAGCAAAGAAGGAATATGGCCCATTTAGTGGAGTAAAAATATCAGCAACAGATCAGTAGCTTCAAACAGGGCTTTTACAGTTGTCCCAGTGGGACTAAATTTCTCGGACTTTTTGCCTATGATACAAGTGGTGTTCTTCCATTGAGTTACAACTTTTATTCTGAATGAAGGAAATAGACCTAGAAACAAAATCCCAGCAAGGGGAGATTAGACTTAAGTCATCTGGGCATAGGGCCAGCACAAGAGTTGTCCCAAGTCATATTATTCCTGCTTAAAACTCAAACGAGTTGCCATGGCACCATTCCAGAACAGAACGGAAAAGGCATGTGGTGCAGAAACACCTCTTTCTGCTCCTCCTTTTTCCACAGGTTTCATTCCAGATAGGAATCCAACTAATCCTGCTGGAAGGACTGCTCTTCTACTCCACTGAGCCCAGCAGATAGCAAGGAGGCTTGTGGGGAGGGGGAGGGGGAGGCAGGTGGCCAGAAAAATGAGGCTGCTATTGATGGAGGAGAGGTGCCTCTTTCTGAGCTGGAATCCCACCCCCTACCCTCAATAGCTCCCCACAGTTAATCTGTTTGGTCATCCTGCAAAAGGAGAAGGGGTTATTTGTCTTCTTGGGCTACTCAAAAGTGATGACAGGATGTGACAACCTCAGACCTGTTTACTTAAAATCTCCACAGTAGGTTGTGGAGACAAATGGTTGGGATCCATCTGTGTTTGTGTATAATAAAGAGACACAGAGAGAGAAAGAATGAGAGAGATTCTTAGCATGTCCCCTGTTGTAATTAATTAGTACATTTAAGTTTTGACAGCCATGCCATTTTAGACAAAGCAAACACTTCCCTGCTGTGTCCTGTTCATAGGAACATGCTTCCTAATCAGTGATGGTTCTGTATTAGACCATCACACATATAAAGGGGAAGATCCTACCAAATGGGTTTTCTTCCAATTAAAAACAGTAGCCCAGTTTGTCTCTGTTCTATCATGAGAATGGAAGTAAGTCACAGAGCTGTTCTGTTTTGTGGTGGGATGATTAAGAAGCAGAACATTTATCACTCAATAGAGCAAAACTCCCAATCCCCGTATGATTAACTAAGGAATATGAGTGCTGTTCCCTGTGTACAGATTTATTCACAGTTTTGAAATGATCTTGAAAGAGGTGGAGAAAAGACCTGATCTGTTTAAAACGTAACTTTCTTTATGACTGAAGTTTGCTTAAATTCAGCGCTAACACTTCATTCAGACTAGATGAAATATGACCGAAGTATTAGCTACAAGATCTGGCTATGGCTCTCATCAATATCAATATCAATTAAGAGAGGAAATTAATTTAATTTAAGCAACTAGGTTCAAGGTCCAGAAGCATTTGGTGAAAGTAACAGTCCTGACACACTGAGATGTATTTTGCAGCAGAAGTGACAATGTGATCCAGAACAGCCATGGTCTTGCTCTTGATTAGATCATGCTTATGGCTGCTGATTAGTTAATGCTATGTGGTTTCTCTGTGGGAGTTGGTGTGTACCCAATTATGGCCAGCTTCTATCAGAACACTGGTGGTCCAATTTGCTCAACAAATGGCTAAGACAAACTTTTAAAGAGCTACACCTGGTTGCTTACATGCAGGGCATGTAGTCTACCATTGATCCACAGTCTGGATTTAACTTGCAAACTGACTCAATTCATTTTTCACGGCATAAAGGAAGTATACTTCCCAGCCCTGTTCTACCAGCTGCTTGCCTTGAGGGCCATTTGCCACATTGTCATGTGAGTGATGTACTAGTGGTGTAATATGGCCAGGAGAAAAATTCCTCAGAAATTCACTGGCACATGTCCAGGCTTTGAGAGAGCTGATGAGACAGCAAGACCGGAACATGTGGCCCGTGCCTAATGCAATGATCTGTCACCATGGCATCTGACTCATTTCCCTTTCCTATTACCAGCAGCTAGGCATGGGAGGCCAACCGTTTTCTGTCCATTGAGCATAGTCATTGTTCTTGGCTTTGGGTTTCCCTTGGCTGCTGGCTCACCAGTGCAAGTGACTTTAGCCTCAGAGAGAAGGCTGAGGAAGAAGATCCAGGATTTTTCCAGAAGGGGACATCTTGCCTGCTAAAAAAACATAAATGCAAAATGGCACATAGAGACTTTGGATTGAGATTACAATTACGGGTTATGGGGGTTCTACAGAGGGGAAGAAGACGGCACGAAGAACTGAGTGGTCCCAATTAACCATAGGTTTAGATCAGGGGTGTCCAACCTTGGCAACTTTAAGCCTGGAGGACTTCAACTCCCAGAATTCCC